GTCGGATTGATTACTGACAGATGTGTGCATAACTCCTAGCTCTGTATAATTCACTATCAATTGTGTCGAGTGGTACTGATAATCATTGCATCTTATTGTCCAAGTAAATACATAAAGTCCGGTTTCTGGAACAATGAATACTCCCGTGCCTGACCAATATCCGCTTCCAACGTTGGTTCTGACGACATCAAATATCAGATTACGCCTGCCAGATATTTTATCTGTATTTTGAGCCATGTAGGCATAAAATGAAATACCACTAACGGTCGGAGGAGACTGTAATTTTTCTGAAATTAATATAAAGAATTTTAAAGACAAAGTTTTCAAATACATATTACGATTTTTCAAACAGGGGGTGTTTACTCCTCTTAGAAACCTGGTCCCAACTCTAAATAGATTTTTGTTTAGGTCGATCGCAGTTTGTAATCGCTTTTTTCAATTACATCAGTAATATTTTGGTAACCATTCCTGATCAATATAAAAATTTTCTAAAACGTCCAATGTAATTGTTGAAATTCTCTCCCCAAATTTTGGGTCCACTTTAGCCGGGCGGGGTGGGGGGGGGGGAGGAGAGGGGTGTTAAAACAATTTTCATCAGGTTATCATTTGAGATTTTAATCTCTTTGACTATAACACTACAATACCGAGATAGAAATGGCTTTTGAATATATACTGAATATGAAAGTTGTTTGCTCTATTGAAACCCCAACACCGCCGAAGTATGGCTGAAATATTTCCGACTCAGTGTTAAGCAACATCAATCTGTCAATCAATCATGTAATCCCAGCATAGGACTTTGATTGAAAGAAAGAACGGTATAGATGGTAAGTGGATGTTTTGCGGGTGTCTGGATTTGCGACTGCTGTGCTTGATACCTGGAGAGTCTCTTTCTATATCCATTCCTAAATTTTAATTGCACCTTGTTATAGCCTTAAAATGGTCTTGAATGAAATGTAGATAATTCTAATTTTAGACAGAGGATTTTTTTTATATGTACTTTAATCCAGCTAATTATGGATCTGTCGTTCTAATGAATATTTTTACGGTTTTTCTTTTGCATTAATTAGCTAGTTAAAACATATTTTGCATTGGCACAATCCTTAGCTTTTAATCAAGATATGTTACGAAATATACTCACTCATGACTATATTTTTTAAAAACCTTTCCCACTCGTGATATTAATCCTATATTGAACAACAAAAAATGGATATCGTCTGTATATTTAAGATTTAGTCTATATTTGTGCAAAATGAACAATCATTAGTATCTAGTAAAAGTTAAATAAAAGAAAAAAAATATCTGAGCATTTGAATTCTTACATAGTATACTGATAAAGGAAATAAAAACTTATTGCTATGTATGGTAACTTTATGTTTAAAAGTGTAGTTACCCGATATGCTCATCAGTTGTTTGTAAACGTTGCTTTGACCCTCTAGAATTCGTTGAATTGTTGCATTGACAAAAGTCGAAGAGACACAAAGTTTCCTTCGTTTATATTTAAACGAGTATTAAAGTCTTCTGCGTTTTTTTTCTTCGAATATTGTTTCGTTCATTTTAAATATTTTTTTCTGTGTATCCTCGTTTTTCTGTGACAGACTTTCATATTTCTGTTCATGTAAAGAAATTGCATTTTTTAAACTGTTCAAGTCATTTTCCTTCATCAGTTTGAACTCGGCTTTTAGCTCCATACATCCTGAGGCATTTATTTTCTTGTTAGTTTTAATGAAACCATCCAGTTCTGTTTCATTGTCTGCATTTTGTAGAATTTGTTCATAATTGTCTTTCTGAAGAGACGATTTTTGTTTCCAAGGAAGTGATATCTCTGTTTTATTTAAGGAATATATATTGTCACCTGTCAGATTTTTAAAGTAACACAATGCAGAGCGCATGATTTTCAATTCTTCTTTAAGGTTTGAGTTCTCTTTTTCGGTTTCCTTTTGTGTTGCTTCAAAAGTTTGCAATGTTTTTGTGATATCATCAAGACTTTTCATCACATTCAAAATAATATGTTTATTGTCAATGACATCCAAAATTAATTTTTGCATTTTCTGTTCCATTGAGAGGCGTAACAGTCTTTCTTTACTCAGAATATTTCTAAGAGAATAGGCTGTTTTTCTTGAAGTTGAAGAAGGCAAGGACTTAGAATTGTCCAATGAATTATTCCCCAATAGAGAGGAAACACAAAGGATTCCATTGAGAAAGATCAAACATCCAACAAAATTGCACTGCATGGTAAATATTTTCATCAGGCTATGTTTCTTATAACTTCTAAACAATGTTTTTACTGATAGAAAGGCAAAACGAATAAGCCAAGAACAAGGAGATAAAGTACAATGATATAGTCAGCTATATTCATCTAGAAGAATACCTTTGGTTGGGAATAAATACACTTAAAGTCAAGAGCTATAAGCTTGTGTTATTATTTCATCTTTATACTGTGTAACGTTAAGAGTAACCTGGAAAGAACATTGTCTTCTAGGACAAGAAACGTTTCTTTCAAATCAGTAACCAGTTTGTTTGATACTGAAGATGCCGGAGACCCGTGTATTCACATTCTGCATTGCCCGGAAATTATACTTACCTTTTGGTTAAGTTCAAGTAAACAGTTGAAGGTAACGAACAATGATTGATCTAAATAAAATCTTAACACAATACAAATCTGTATAAAATTAAAAAATAGGGCATGGAACACGGACTCCTTTAAATTCCAGAGGTGAATCAGATGCCTAGAAGGAGAAAAAAATCCCCTGCTGACCAGTTACACCCGCTTTGAGCCCCGTGTATTGATCAAGTATACAAAACATTCCTTAATCAAATCAAGTATAAAAACAAATACCTAACAATTGGTATAAATTAAGTCATCATAAGTGTCAATATCTAAATAATGTGTACAAAGTTTACAAAAGTTTGAGGACAAATTATTTTTAGAAGACTATCCACTAGAAAACTATTCAATAAACAGCTGGTAAAAAATAAACTTATTTTCTAACAAATATACAAAAAAATCGTTTTTTTATGTTCCCTCTCGAGACATTTTCACTCAAATTGAGATGGAGGGCTTCAAATACTGACTTATGCTCGGCACTTACGGCCATTCAGCAGTGAGGGATCTTTTTCATGCCAGAACCTACTGCGACAAGGGACCTCGGTTTATACAGTCTCATCCGAAGGACCGGTCTCCATGTCTCACGAGTGGGATTCGAACCCGCGACGTAAGGATCAACTCCTTACTCCACAACTCTAGAGCAGACGCTCTACCACTGCGCCACGCAGGCGACTTAAAGTGCAGGAAATTATGGTAATTCGATTAATAAACCCTCGAGTTTAAGAGACATTTTCCTATTTTAAAAAATACACTTTGCAAAATACACTTTGCACATGTTTCTCAACTAATTATGTCATGAAGTAATAAGGACATTTTTCTTTTTTGATATGAATATGAATCCGCGATAGTCGAACAAAGAGTAATAAGTATCTATTTATTTAATACATTAACTCGGGAAATAAAACCTCTTTAAATAATTTTTACACTGCTGATAATGCCTAAACGTACGTTCTATATACATGAACCACAATTATTGTTTATAATACGTACATCAATTAACTAGAGAAACTTTTACCTAAAAGATTATTTTTAAATTCACTTATCTTTTCATCCAAAAATGATCCTCTGCATGACATTTTATAATTTGTCAGTTTTACCAGTCATTTGAATGATTTCGTTTTGATGTATAATTTAAAAGGAATTCTTAATCTGCAAGGATACCACTCAGTATTGTTCAGATATTTAGAATATCTGAATAGATTATAAAAATTTCAATACTTCAAAGAATTTAAATGATTTCAAAGAAATTTCTAACATAGACTATATATTGATCAACAAATAAAATTCATTGGTTCTTGCTTTTTACGTTTTAAAATTTAATGAACATGTAATGATATTAAAATGACAGAAATCTTAAAAATTTAAAATAAAAATTATCTATGCTTTTTAATCTGTGCTTTGTGGAGTAACAGCTCATTTTTGTAGTATTGTATACTAGTCATGATTATGTTTATACAGTCATGTAGCAGGAGCAGCTCATTCTTGGTAGTATTGAATACCAGTCATAAATATATTTGTAGAAGTAATAGCCCATTTTTGGAAGCATTGTATACTAGTCATGAATATGTTGGTAGAGGTAACTCATTTTTGATAATATTGTATAATCATCAGGAATATGTAAGTAGCAGTAAAAGGTCAAAGTTTATAGTAATGTATGCAAGTCATGAATATGTTTGTAGCAATAACAGCCCTCCGGGCTTGGGCCGAGACCAACCGCTCGGGCTGATACCAGGGCCGAGATCAAAACAACAGTGTGATATTCTATATGTATTGTATACAATTCATGAATATATTTGTAGTAGAAACACCTACATTTTTTTCTTAGTATTGAATACTACTGATGAATATGTTTGTAAAAGAAACGGCTCATTTTGGTTGGTATTTAATACTAGTCTTGAATATGTTTGTACCAGTAACTTCTCATTTTTAGTAGATTAGTGTACCAGCCATGAACGTGTTTGCAGCAGTAACAGCTCTTTATTGTACATGTAGTATAGTATACTAATCATGAATGTTTTGTAGCAGCTAGCTAACTTTAGCTAGCATTGTATGCTATTTATGAATGTGTTTGTCGCAGTCTTTTTTTTTTTGCAGTATTGAATACTAGTCATAAATACATTTGTAGCGGTTACAGCTCATTCTTGGTATTGTTTCAAATTAGTCATGTATGTGTTTGTAGCAGTGACATCTCTCTTTTTTTTTTAGTATTGTATCCTAGTCTTAAATATGCTTGTCGCATTAACAGCTCATTTTGATATTATAATATACATGTACTAGTCTTGAATATGTTTGTCGCAGTTACAGCTCATTTTGATATTATAATATACATGTACTAGTCTTGAATGTTTTTGTCGCAGTTACAGCTCATTTTGATATTATAATATATATGTACTAGTCTTGAATATGTTTGTGGCAGTAACAGCTCATTTTTTAAAGTGAAATCTCTTAAAACCATACTATAATAACCTTCCTTATTGCACTCAGGGATGTTATTAACTTTAAAAACATTAAATCAATGAATGCCTATCCAAATTTAGAAATACAAGTAAATAAGGAACTTTGTATATAACAATAATTTTATACCAATAACATTTGATCTGAAAAATTTTGAAGAATGGGAACTTTAATCTCTGCATTACGTGTCTTAAGTAGATTATTATTTAATCCCATTTGTCCTTCAAGACAAAATTATAAACACAGAAACGCACGACATGTGGCCTTTTTATTGTTTTCTCACCTTATTTCTGGACTATTTGTTGTTATTTCGACATATGCAGCAGAACAGTCAACTGTCCGGAGTGCCAACTACATTAACTGGGCAGTGGTCATAGGATGTGTGATTGTCGGGTTGTTTTCTCTCTGTGTCCTCCTCGTGTCCGGCTGTCGAGGACGTCTGGTGGTGGATCCTAAGGTGTGTAATGCAGATTCAGATCCGTCTTTGAATCTGCGTGTAATCTTCCTATGGATGTTTGGAATGACCGTGATGCTCCACCTGGCCCTGAATATTGCCATTTACCTTGAGTGTCTCCAGAAATATTCATTGAATCTGTTTTATTTTGCATTATCTCTCCTTAGCAATTTTGCGTTTATGTGTTTCTTAATCATCCAGCTGAGCATTATAGCATATTATAGGAGAAACGCATTTAGAAACACCTTAAGTCATTCTATTGCTGTCGTATTTATTCTCACTGCTAATTTTGCTATATGGTTTAATACGACGGTGAGTACTATTAATGTGTTTGAAATGATGGAAAACAAGACAGTCCCCAGATACAGCAACGAGTCCTTTTGCTTCCGGACTTCTAAAATACAAGTGGAACTAGAAAGAAAAATAGAGCAGTTTTTAACACCAGCCAGAATGGAATTTTGTATATTAGCCTCAAGTTTTATCATATCTCTGTGGACATTGCCTGATGTAAATAGGAAAGATAATATGCAAGACAAGGATGGAGATCTCAATAATTCCTTGGCCTTTGATATCCAGTCCCGTGGTAGATTCCCACCAGGACCTGAAAATGATTCCAGTCGAAGTTTAATGTTACATTCGAGAAATGGTGTAAATAACTTGGTTGGGTCAAATATCGTGTCTCTCGTGTTTGGAATCATTTTAAACCTGCCATCATTTGTTTCCAATATTTTACTGACTTTTGTGTTTGATTGGGACAGTGAAAAAACAGCAATGTCGCTGTATTTCAGTAAATGTCTGGGATCAGTTTCAATTATTGTTGTGATATATCTTTGTAGTTACAATCTACGGAAGTTAAATTTTTCGTGGAGTAAAGACAAAATGACAGTGAATGATTACATTCTAATTATTAGTTCCTCTGGTATGGTGGCTTATTTTATGTTTGGTCTACTTTCGCCTGATTTAACCCTAGCATTTTTAAGTAGCCGTATTTTTCTCATAATCGAAACTTATCTTCAAACATATTTTTTGATAAAGATGAAAAGAGCTTGTGTAACTTTCAATTCTTCTATGATATCAGCAACAGGAGTTTTTCTGACCATATCAAATCTCATTTATTGGTTCTTGAATGCGTACAATCAAATAACGTTTGTCAAGGGAAGAATATTAAAGCTTGTGGAATTCGAAGATTGGCTCTACATTGAGAACGTCTTGGTGCCTTTAATGACTTTTTACAGGTTTCTCTCGGGAATGAGCGCCTATTCTCTTTACAGAAGGTTTAAGTCACATTCTTAACCTCAAAAGAGGTAAAAACTATCATCGAAAAATATTAACTTTAAATTGTATTTTCTTATATGGTTGTGAATACAATATATATAAAGTTACACATTGATAAATTTTGTCTCTCTCTCTCTCATAAAACATGTCTCTCTCTTTACATTTTCTCTCTCTCTCTCTCTCTCTCTCTCTCTCTCTCTCTCTCTCTCTCTCTCTCTCTCTCTCTCTCTCTCTCTCTCTCTCTCTCTCTCTCTCTCTCTCTCTCTCTCTCTCTCTCTCTCTCTCTCTCTCTCTCTCTCTCTCTCTCTCTCTCTCTCTCTCTCTTTTCTGTCTTATATCTCTCTCTCTCTCTCTGTGTGTGTGATTATTTAATCTTCTGTATTGTGTAAATTGTTTGTTTAAATAACAATGACAAGTTTTTATATGTCAATGAACATTCTTGTAATTTACTTCTGTATTGTAAAGATTAAATCTTTAAAAATTCTAACTTACTTCTGTATTGTTAAGATTTGCCCATAAAAATAATTGAATCCGTGATTTTGCAAACATATCTTTTGAAATTACATGGAACAAAATTGAATTTTTTAATTCAAAAAATATAGATTGCGTTTTCAACAGTAAAATCGCGTCAAGTCTTCTTTAGAAAATACGGTCATGAGATCATAGACATTCAAATTAAAGAAAATGTTTCATATTGGGAAAATGAAGCACGAAATTAGTCCTGCAAATGCTAAGCATACTTTTACACTTGACTTAGAATTAATAAATAATTGATTGCAGAAATGTAATGTTGGACTCTTTAGCAATAACGATGATATTTTTTCTTTATTACCGGTAAATTGGATTGGGAACTTTTTCTAGAGATACATTTCAAATGGCTTTGTCAGGCTAAAAAGTAAAACAAAAAATAAGGCAAAAGATTTATATTGAACATTAATTCTACTACGTCTGGAAATCAAACATATACTCAAAGTTCACTATCCAAGGAAGACATTCCTCAAAACAAATTTCTCCATGAATAAGGGTTTTAACGTTTGGGAAATGAGTTTAGTTTTCTTTTTGCCTTGTCAAGAAATTTCTGGGCTTTTTTTTTGACAGGGGTGAACATCCTTCCCCCCCCCCCTGGAAAAAAAATCTGGATCCGCGCCTGGATCACTGTTTGATATCTACAACTATTACATTATAAACTAACACTATGTGACGGAATTGCCTTTTCGCTTAACCTCAAAACAGAGAAAAACTATTATCAAAAAACTAAATAATGCAACTTTAACATGCGTTACTGTACATGGTCCTGACCATCATATGTATACAGATACACATGAATAAGTTTAGTACGTTTTAATGCTCTATCTATCTTGTTTACGTTAATACCTAAGGTTTTTTAAATTAAAGTATGTGTATGTATTTATGTTGAATAATTAATGTAATCATGCTTATCTTAATAATAATGATAAGAATTTTTACTTGTTTCACCAGATAGTTTATTTTTCATTTTCTTTTCATTTACATTCTTCAAAATTACTACTGTATTGTTAAGATTTCTTTTTTAATAAAATAACTGAACACATCATTTTGCAAAAACAAATTTTTGAAACATTATTAGATATTAAATGGAACAAAATCAAGTACAAAATTTGACTCCTTTTTCAACAGTACTTACATGTCAATTTCTGTTTTGAATAATACAATCAAGTCATTATAAACATTTAGTTTTAAATTCATCATATTTGAAGAATGATACTCGAAACTGATTCTGCAAATGCATAGCACACTTTTTCACTTTACGTAGAATTGCTAATTGTTTGCGGAAATTTATTTTTTAAACGATATCAAAAAAGTTCCTCTTTTTTCCCTTGAATTGGACTGAGGACTTTTTTTCTTATATATCTCAAATAGCTTTCTCTGGCTAAAAAACTAAAACTCAAAGAAATTGCTTTATACCTTGATAATGCCGTTAGCTCATTACATGACAGAACTTCCTCTGCTCTGTGTGTCTCTATACACAAGTAGATAGACCACAGCGTGCGTAAAGTCAATTAAAATTGAATCAATCATTATGTCAATGCATTAAGTAAAAAAAATTACTTGACACAGATGTACATGTTAAGATTGGTCACAAAAAATTATTGAATATTTCAATTCATCCCCTCCTCTCCAATCCCTAATCCTTTTCTTCTAACCCAGTCCCCCACTCCGTCCGATAAGTTAGGTGACCAATAAGATTCAACTTATTGGACACCTACAGATTATATTGAATAACAGTAAAGGGCGGCACAGAGAAATGAACAGCATTTAAAACACATGGTCTGATAAATCGAACAATTTTATTTGAGCAATGTAGAAAATTAATAGCGTAAATTGTCAATATTTCACAGAATAATCCTACGGAAATGTGCATGAATAATACATGTGGTGAACAGAATGCCTTAAATTCAGTGAGTCGAAACTCAGAATTGGTGGTAGTACCGCAGTTGAGGAAAACCTCAGTTGAGACAGAAATCTAAGATTTAAGGTCAGATGAGACGTTCCTCAAAATCTGTTTTGTATATCTTCGCAATGTATGAAAAATATTCAAAATTTTCATTACATTCTGACTTCTAAACCAGTTTCTACACGTTTTTAAAAAATCCAAACACTTAAACATTTGGAATTGGAAAATTTTTTTTCTTCCCGATAGGATTATATAAGAAGAATTTCCTCTGGTATCTTGCAGAAATGCCTGGTAAGGTACCTCAATCTTTTTGTGAGTAAACATGTTTAAGTAGCAAAACTTCAATGGCAAGCTCTTAGAAAAATTTATCTATTATTTAGGAACGTCTCGTCTGTCCTTAAGACTAAATATGTCAACTATTTCTTTATCTTCATTTTTTGACAAAGTCTGTTGTTAGAATTTATAAAATTTATTCTAAAAAATTAATTGAAAGCTATATTTCATATATTGAAAGTGTATGAAAAAACTCAAAACTGTTCTGCATAAAAAAGATATATAGGGCTAATTTCCTCAATCAAAATATTATACACATGTGAGTCTATATTGCATATTCAAAGCATATTTTAAGAAAATTCTAAGCTGTTATGAGTAAAAATATATATTTTGGGCTAAATTCATAAAGCATTATTTTAAGACATGTGTTTCTTTCAGCAATTTATTTTTTCTATGAATATCCTTTGCCTACAAGCAATATTGTCCCCAATAATCTTGTTTCTTTATATTTTTAGTAGTTTTATAATTAAGTAATGTGATTTGCGCTATTTAATTCAGCGGTGTTATAAAATTGAATTGTTATGAATAATTCTAAAATTAGAGGTGCTGACTTAACTTTACGCAAAAGCTGATGTCATATCTTTAACTTGATTGTTTTGTGTCAACTAGTAATATTCAAGTGAATTTGAACTCGAATAAAACGACATCATAAAGTGTTCCACATTCATATTTATATTTCCTTTTATAAAAGCGTTAATTGCTAACTAACATACTTAAAATAGTTTTTTTCAAAAGCCTTGTGATTAATGTACGACTCTACGCATCGATTCTTGATAGTCTTTCCAATAAGATGACCATCCAAAACTGTAAATAAAAATGAAATCCTCGTCTACGCATCGATTCTTGATAGTCTTTCTTATAAGATGACCATCCAAAACTGTAAATAAAAATGAAATCCGCGTGTACGTAGTAATTATCTTTATCATTTTATTTATATAGAAGAAAATAAAACAAACATGACTTTATGCACGTTTATTTTGATATTGGCGATTGTTGGTCGTGGCATATTTAAAAGCAGCAAGGGGTCGCCAAGCGTAAAGGGCGACCCCAAATTACAACAAGCAGCAGCAGCAGCAAGCAACATGAAAGCATAATATAGCTAAAAGAAGAGAATTTCAAATTTAAGCAACTGGTTATAGCATAGAGAGGATTATGTTCTTAAAATGAATTGAGCAAGGATTTGCATTTTCCTTAATTAACAAGTCTAGCCCTAATTTACCCCAAACCCCAGATAAATAAAATTATGAATTCCTTTATTCCTAATTGTTATAGCCCTAGAAGTGAAGAATGCATGAGCAGGAATAAAAAGAGGCATCAATAACAGGGGAAAAATCCATGTCCCTAAAATGCTAAAGTGTTCAATACCCTTGAGTCAGATTGTACTGTCAAATTCATTGTTCGACTAATTACACAACTAAAATAATTAGCATAGCTCTCAATGAGTAAGTGAGCTACCTTTGATTGCCAATGAATTTGATAAAATTTATGCAATTGCCAAAAGGAACCAAGGGGCAATTACACACTTGAGAATCTCTGAATTTAATTTTAAGAGTACATCAGTTCTGAAGTTTGAAATAAAGCATTGGCCTGTCTTTTTGGTTGATGGTGTTGTTCAATGTGGAGGGCATTATTTTAGCCAAGCATGAACTAAGTTCCTATTGCATGATAATAACATATAGCCCAACTTATGCTGAACATTAGCCTTACAACTTACAATATTTGAATATTCCCTGTTAATTCTGATAAGTAGAAATGGTATAACTTTGCTTCCGACCCCCCCCCCCTATTTTTTTTGGTTTATTTAATTATTTATTAATTTATTTTTTTTATTAAAGCACTCTATTGCAAAATGCACTTAAAAATTCCCTTAATGTATACATTGAGAATGCTCAATTGAATAAAGACTGCGAAAATTGATAGACACCGATTGTAATGTTTTGATTACTTTAACTGCTATTAACCCCCCCCCCCCTCTTTTTTTTGTTTGCATGATTCAAATTTTTTAATATATAATTACAACAAATATTCCTCAATCTGATTCACGTTTGATTGTAAAACTAAAACGTAACCTACTTTTTACATACATTATGCCACATGTATGCCAACATGAAAAATTTTAATCCAAGCTAATCTCGCATTTTTGCGAAAAAGAATAATCCATCCATGCATCCAATCATCAAATCAGATATTTGTCTATACTATTTCATAAAATTATTTAAGAAACAATCGTGATTGAAGCATATTTTTTGAAAATTCTGTCTGCTATAAAATTCGTGTACCTTTCGTTTTAGGATCCAGGGCAAAGAGGGGGAATTTGATATATCCCGA